TGGAGGAGCCTCACCTACATCGCTCTCGGAGCCTGGTGTCAAATGAAAACATTTTGTATTCACCTAAATCTGGTAATTCAACCCAAAATGAGGACCACCTAAAGGAGACACAAGTGAATCTATCCCTACCTGAAACCACTTTAATCTGAGAGCAAAGAAATATTAAATAAAAGTCAGAGCGGCCCAGGCAATTGTTGTGTTGAGTACAGGAGCTTTGCCCACATCGCTCTCGGAGCCTGGTGTCAAAGGAACACATTTTGTATTTACCTAAATCTGGTAATTCAACCCAAAATGAGACACAAGTGAATATATCCTACCTGAAACCAACTTAACCTGAGAGCAAGGAAATATTGAATAAAAGTCAGAGTAAGTGATGCCCAGGTAATTGCTGTGTTGAGTACAGGAGCTTTGCCCACGTCGCTCTCGGAGCCTGGTGTCAAATGAACACGTTTTGTATTTCCCTAAATCTGGTAATTCAACCCAAAATGAGACACAAGTGAGTCTATCCCTACCTGAAACAAACTTAACCCGAGAGCAAAAAATATTGAATAAAAGTCAGAAAGGCCCAGGAGATTGTTGTGTTGAGTGGAGCAGCCTCGCTCTCATCATGCTCTGAGCCCGATGTCAAAGGAACACATTTTGTATTTACCTAAATCTGGTAATTCAACCCAAAATGAAGACACTAAAGGAGACAAGTAAATCTATCCCTACCTGAAACCAACTTAACCTGAGAGCAAAGAAATATTGAATAAAAGTCAGAGTAAGAGAGGCCCAGGCAATTGTGTTGAGTGGAGCAGCCTCACCCACATCGTGCTTGGTGACAAGGGAACAGTTTTAATCCCTTGCATGTATTTGCAACGTGTCATGTACAAGGACAAGCCTTGACAAGGCTTTGATGTGGTTTTTGTAGTGTCACACAACTGCCACGGTGTACACGCTCCAAAGGCCCACAAGTAATCAAAAGGAGCCTGGCTTGGAATATTTCACCACAAAGAACTGTATTTAAAACCTTCTTCTCGTGCTACCTCCAGGGCAATAACAAGACTTGGCCCTGGTAGAGGGAAGGTGTGTGGAAAAAGGGATTATTAGCTTTATTTTTTGCCCATGCATGACAAGGAATGATGATATTCATTTGGGGAGATAGCACAGCAATTTTGTTACCGTTCAATAAAAAAGGAGTAGCACGAACAAATTGGTTAATGAATGAGGGAGGAGAGAGCAGAGTATTATGCAGTGAATCTATAAAAATGAACTCAATTTGAATTCAACCCAAAGAACAAATTGATGGAGCAGCAGGCTTTGTAAAGCACTAGATCTTCATCTGAATGCTGAAATAACACAGTGATTAATTTTGCTTCAGTCAAATATCTTGGGGTTTGCTATATAAGAATTAAAAAATAACATGCTTTAAATGCTGCTTGACTATCAAAACACATTCACCATTCAAAAAGAAAGCTTAAAGAGAATAAATGCTCCTTCTCTGTACTTTGCTTGCCTTCAAAATTCTCATTTTACCATGGTTTTCCTGTCTGTCAAACTTTGACACGGAGGGAAAAAAAAAGCCATTAACTGTTACATAGAAAAATTATTTAAAAAATACATCTATAACATGTTGCCAAGTGAAATGCTGAAGGAAGGGGAAAATTATTTCTATTGTTCCACTGAAATAAATTTTTTGAATGTCAGCATGGGCATTGTAAAGGGACAGAAGAGAGACCCAGGAAAAGGCAACTTGTGGTTCCCAGGCCCTTCATGGCGATTTCAGAGAGGAAATAAAACATTTATTTACCAGTTTATGTGACAAATCATACAGGGATTCCAACTCCAGCAGCCACCCACAGGCTATTTTAAATTATTTTTACAGTTTTCCTCTATCAAGGTGGAGGGAAAACTGTTCACTTGTTCATTTTAGACATCGAATGGGTTTTCACTTCTTCAAGGCCAGCTAAGAAAATCACTCAGGATTTGCAAATATGTGACAGGCAACCTCTTTTCTTACTGAGGAGAAAATTACCAACTTTATTTGCTTAACAGGAGCTTCTTGCTCACACTGTAGAGTTTCACATCACCTCTTTTAAGATCCCCTAAAAGATCTACCCCAAATACCTGAATTTCTAACCCAAAACTTTCAGTGCTGCAGCAGAAATGTCAAAAAAAGAGGAAAAGCAATGTGTGCCAGGAGAG